TTAGACGTTATCAACTAACTCAGAGGGGGCGTTAGGGTGGTGGATGGCATCTTTGCCACTTGGATGTAACTTCTGCTTATCCCTTCACGGGTCTATTCAGTACTAACTTGTTATGTACAAGCTGTTATCTAGTTTATATATGTTTGAAATGGAATGAATGGCATGGGGGAATGTAAACGGGCCGTTAGGCAACCGTAAATGATGAATATCCAATTGGGAACAAAGAAACAATAAAGGAAAAATGAATGAATGGGGAATATGTGATAACGGGTCCGAAATGGAAATTGTGAAGGTTAACTCCGCAACAGTTCGCCACAGCGCCCGCCTATCCTCCCGTCAGCAACCTCCTCGTCTCCAGCTTTCCAACGAGCCCCTATTCGTCCCATTTGGTGCAGTACTTCTTGAGATGTGGCCATTGACAGGTGCTGTCAAGACCACGTGAGAGTATACTCCGTGCTGAACCATCCGGGTATGGGATTGCCATTCTGGGAAATGGTCCAGGGGTGAAGAAGGGTGGTAGAGCATCACTATCGGGTGGAAAAATGGCTGGGTTGTGAGTGTGGGTGTGGAGGTCTGGAGAGGGGGTGAAATTGGCGGCATGGTTGGGCGTGGGAATTTTGCTTGGGGTTGTCGGGAATGATGGGGAAAATATGGAAAAATAAGGAGTGAGTGTCAGGAGTGTTGGATAGTGATATAATGAGCATCGGGAGCGTCGGCGGGTATGTAGTGGGTGTTTGTGGCCAAATTCCGCAGAATCCGACTTTTTGCGGTACATGGAGTTGTCCCCACAACAACGTCCATGCCCTAACTTACTAACTGGCAACCAGAACTAAAGGGGGTCAACTCTAGTCGATTTTATTACTGAGGTGTAACCTATTTACGAGTCAAGTATATATAGTTACAGTGGGGGCAGGCCCATAAACAACGGGGCCGAGCAGAGTGGAGCTAATGGGGTTAAACATTAGCCGATTGAATATTACCGACAAGTCGGGTTACAGGGTTAGTGGAATGGTAGGCGATAACCCAGAAACGGAAAGGAGGGATAGGCCCGAAGGTGGGCTTGCAGGGCAAGCGAATGTATTGCCCAGCAGAGGCAGGGGTGCACTAGCAGACGTCGGAGCTGCCCGGAAGCCTTCGAGGCTCCGTACTTAGGGAGGTGTAGGTAATATATTGAAAAGAGGGGGTGGTGACCATCGAGGGAAGCGGAGGTGATTGTGGAATACGGGAGCTCCGAGGTTAGTGAAGAAGGAGTGGAGGTAGTCCGGAGAGATCGGAGGTAGTGGAAGTCGATGGCCATGGATGGATATGACAGCGCTGGCCATTCTTTCTAGAGTTATCTCTAGATGAGCCATGCTATTGTGGTTCGTTTCCTCAATCTTTTTTTGGATCAAGTTTATCGCATTTATTATGTGCGATTCCTGGTTTTCCAGGAGGAAGTTTGGTTGGGCGAGCAGTGACTCTCCCCAGTTGGCATTGCCGCTTCGGGGGTTCCAGAAGGGGTTCTTGGAGTGAACACTCCACGCTCACTTTGTTTAGGCAAGGCCATTGTGGAGGGTGCTTCCCTTTCATAGAGGGGTCTGTTCGCTGGTTTTTCCTTACTTTTCCGTAAGGCTTCCTCAGCGAACTCCCTCATTTCGGTTCGCCTCCTCTTCATTATCTCGGAGACCTCCTCCAAGGTTGGCGACCTTGCCTTGTCTGGCATGGTGTGGGGTAGTGTAAACAGCAGAGGTTCTTTTGGAGCTTCCATGCTCTGGGAGATCCTGCTCTCAGGGCGTTTTTTCGCACCTTCTCAGGCTGGAAGCCTGAGAAGAAGTTGGTCTTCGTTTTCCGTCCTCCATTCGGACGGAACCTGGAACAAGTCCAGTAGTTTTTCGGATAGCCGACGTGGAGGCTCTTCCCTTTGTTTCCCTTTGTCTGCCTTTGGGGCTTGACTTGGGGACATGGGGGAGGACTCCAGGGGATAGTTGGGCCCTGGAGTTTCCTGCGACTCTATCCGATCAGCTTTTTGGGCTGATCATTCAGTGCTTACGCGTTTATCGTGCAAGTCGATCACCTCCTGAGGAGGTGAGGGATCTTCCCCAGCTTGGGTTAGATTGGTACGTCATGGAGTTCTAGGGGTATTGGGCCCCACACTTACTCCACGTAAGTTTCTAAAACCTTCAGGGGCCAGCCCTGAGGTGGTTGCTTTTACTGGATCGTGTTGATCCTCATCGTTGTTTGACAATGGTTGTTGATTTGAATCTCCCATGATGGGAGATTGCAGTTTCTTAATGAACTGCTCATTTCTTTTTAACATCGCTGCAGATGCGACCTTGCCCTTGTGGGCATGTTTAGGCGCTACCGAGTCAGATTGTTAAGATGTTAAGTTTTTGTGGGTTGTGTTGTAAAACACACCTCATACACTTAAAAAAGTGTGAGGTCTCAGGGTAGCTCAGCACACAGAGCCATAAGTGATACAAGGGTGTGTATTTTACGGTAGTGTGTAAGCAGTTACCCGGAGGTTCCCGCTTACCCACGTGACTATATGTATCTTAATTACATGTGGCTCAGGGTCAGGGCTATTGCCCTGACACTTGCCTAAGACAACCGAGAACCAGTTCAGACTGAGGTTGAGGCAGCAGATGGCAGAAGTTACAACAGGGCAAAGGCTGATCCATAGTCAGCATGATAGGATAAGCAGTGGGAAGGAGCCAATCAGGAGCCGTCGGTCAGACAGAAACAATTATTTATATGTTAGATATGGATGGATACCAGCAGGGGCTTAATGGATCTGAGGCAGCTTGGGCCATCAAAAAGCACTGTGGTCACTGCTAAATACCCCCTGAAGCAACAAAAGAGATTATTCAGGAGTACATGAAAACTAAACTGTTGTTAAATCCGGCGTTCCATATATGGCAACCCACTTCAGTGGTTCACTCGCAACCCAGATGTAATATAGAAATGCGAAGAGAAACTGTAACTGTTAGAGACCAGATTGTCAGGGGACAACTCCCGGGTCCCCATGACCCTCCCCTATGGTCCACAGCCCCATGGTGTAACCAGCCCTATCCAGGGCACAACCTACTGTGGGTAAGAAGATGAGAAGGAAGCTAACTTCCCATCTTCCCACAGTGGCCACAATATCAGCAAAACTTCCGGGGATACCCGGAAGTCACATGAAGGGGTAGGAACCAGGCCCAGAGCATGCAGTGTGCAGAGCATGCGCATGTGTGGGAAGCGCAGTGGGTGGAAGTGGGTCCGGACATGGGTCCGGGTCCGGGCTATTCAGGGTGTATGCCCTGACACGGATCGAGATGAAGGAGTTGTCTCCATGGTGGAGGGCTTCAGCCTCAGCGACTCAGACCAGGAGCACTGTGCCAAGTTACACGTCCATGCCCTAATTTACTTACTGGCAACAAAAACTAAAGGGGGATCAACTCTAGTTGATTTTATCACTGAGGTGTAACCTATGTACAAGTTAAGTATATATATAGTTACAGCGAGGGCAGACCCATGAATGGCAGGGCCGAGTGGAGCAGAGCTAATGGGGTAAAACATTAGCCGATTGAATATTACTGACAAGTCGGGTTGCAGGGTTAGCGGAATGGCAGGCGATAGATAACCCAGAAACGGAAAGGAGGGATAGGCCCAAAGGTGGACTTGCAGGGCAAGCAAGTGAATTGCCTAGTGGAGGCAGGAGTGCACTAGCGGACATCGGAGCTGTCCAGAAGCCTTTGGGGCTCTGTACTTAGGGAGGCATAGGTAATATATTGAAAAGAGGGGGTGGTGACCATCAAGGGAGGTGGAGGTGATTGCAGAATATGGGAGCTCCGAGGTTAGTGTAGAAGGAGCAGAGGTAGTGGAAGACGATGGCTGTGGATGGATATGACAGTAACTAAAATACACACAGCACTCCAGCACCCATATTTATACTCCTCAACAACATTCCAGCTCTTCTATGCCCAGCGCTTATGCAGGTGCCTAGTAACCCCTAGAATATTCCCGGATATTCCGGTTCAGTCTCATCATGTGACTCATATTCCAACATAAACAACAATAAAATTGTTGTTATCACTTCTTGTCCAAAGTGTGTGCACCAACTTTGGCTGCACGTGATCTGCACAGCCACTGTTCAGACATTTCTGTGACCTAATCACTACGTTGCCTATCATAGTTAGGGGGTGGGTGACTAGCCTGGTCACAACAAGGCTGCAGGGTAATAAGACAGATCCACCACCATATCATTATCAAGACATCCCAGATTTTCCAACAGTCCATTGTTGGCAGCAAGCCCCATTACCAGGACATCCCAGGATGTCCACATTGAAATAGGCCATTTAGGCCCTATTTGAAGCGTAAAAAAACACCCCTTGATAGGGTGGGTTGATTGGCTGGTTTTGACATACTTTTTCACTTTAGGCTCACTTGAGATTTTCAGATCCAATTTACTGTACTCACACGACCAACTACCAGCTGAGATGGGCACGTGACTCGTCACATGATATAAACTGCAAACCGGCCACTCGTTGTGATGTGTGACACCTAACCGGTGGGGGTGTGGAGTTGTCTGAATTATATTACTTATATTGAATTGTTAACTAACAGAAGGCACCTTGAATTTAAAATTTAAAATTTTGAAAACACCACCCCCATAAAATTTCTGAGCATCTGTGCATCATCTCATGAATGGTTTTACCCTTGCACACCACATTGCTTTGTGTACAGATGAGACTATCTCATATAGTGACATCCCAGGTGATTTTATTGGATCCTACTTTCCAGATGGGAACTTGTCTGTCACCGAATTTATCCAGTTTACACTTCCAGTCCTCCAGACAAATTTACAAGGTTCAACCATACACCTCAGCCACCACCCCCCTCCATCAATCAACTGTCCGAAAATGATCTCTGCACCATAGATTGTCCAACCTACCACTCAATAAAAAACCTCATCTCCGAGCACAACCCCAATGATGACAACCCAGCCTGTTCGGTTTGTGTTGGCTCATATTATTTCCCCATCACCATTCTCCATATCTGGGAGGCCTTGCTACGACTATGTGACCTGCAACAGGTATGGAGAGATGTAGTGGCACACGTCAAGGAGATAGTATGCCACCACCCAGCACACCACAGTGCTATTACAGCAGCGCAAAGGCGACTCCTCTCATGCCCCTGGAACAGTAAAGTCCTGGGTTTCTCAAAATCAGTGTTCAGTTCAATTGGAGGCTTGATGCGTCACCTTTCCATGTCCTGCCTTACTACAACCGACATTATGTACCATATCGAACTTCTATGTGACGATCTGGGGAATGGAGGTGTGAAGGCATGGCTATTGAGCCCACTTGAGATCCAGTACCTAACTGGTTGTGTGACTCAGAAGGACGGACTAGAAAGATACAAACATAACCGCACCTGTATCACCCTCCGTCTATTGGGGTCTGAGCTTGCATCTGGTTCTATAACCCTATTTGGTGGAATAATGAATGTCAACGACAACCATTGGATAGCATTCATCATTTCTACTGCTGAATCCACTATTTACCTTGCCGACTCCCTATGTTGGCCAGTGGGTGGAAATCAACACTCACACACCACTCAAGCAGCTACCAAGATCCTCCAATGGTGGCTTGATGTATCCTATTCCAAGTCAAATCAGTCCACGGCCCCATTCCAGATTGCGTGGCTCCCAATAGCTTACCAAACAGACTCCTCATCATGTGGCCTCTTCGCTCTCAATGCTCTAATGCATCGCCTTCTCCCCGAAAAACACTCACTCCAGACTGGCAATGGAGCACTGGCCCTACGTGCAGAATTCCAGAATCAATCCTTGACCGTCATATGCAACATGTACATACCAAACCCACCCTTCCTGCAGCACCCATGTCTCCCCCCGCACCAGTGGCAGCTGCTGCACTGAATCGCTCAGAAGAAGTACCTTACACAAGCACATCAGAACGAGAATGGAAGCGGCTGGATCTCACCATTAAAGAGGAGGACAAAGGCTGTGGATTGCTTCACTTCTTTAGCCCCACAAGCCATGAAGAATACCAAGCCCAGTTGGCTGCAGAGTATGAGAGGATAACAGAAAGACAGGAAGAACTCCGTCTTTCGGTGAGGAGAGCTGCCATCAGAAAAGTAGAGCAGGCCCGTAAGTCAGCCAAAGAGCGACAATGCCGCCACCAAGCATCTCAGAAGCCAGTGGCAAATAAAGATGATGAGGTATGCAGATGATGCACAGGTGGGAACACTTCCTGATCAGCGATGTTATATGTAGCACATCAAACATGGGAGCCATACCTGTGAAGGCGAGGTGACAGTGTCACCCATTGTTGTCTTGAAACCGATGGCACTCCCAGTTGCGGAGATCTCGCGACCAAAGCGCCGCATTGAGGAGTGGATGATGGAGTGAAAACGCCAAAAAAGGAACCATCATCCAGTCAGTACCGAGCCTCCCCAAAAAGTAATAAGAACACATGTGAAAACTACAAACTGGTTCCAACTGATCTTTTGGACAATAATAAAAGACATCACAGACACAGTGGGCTGGAAGATGAGTCCAACTGAGATAGTAAGGGGTTGTCAAGCACGAAGTCAGCAGTTGTTCCAGTCGCTGCGTGCTGATGTGGTTGGGAAATGGATTGATCGAACAGGGTCACAGCCATGTTGGTCTGCAGCAACACTAGCGAAGGTCGCGAGAGAAAACTGCCCAGGTGGGACTGTAACAAGGAGGGGGATTCTGGTGTGTTTAGTTATTAACTTGACAACATTTCACTTACCAAAGCATCCCAGGCCAAACATCCGGAGACAGTAGAAAGAATCAAACAGATGCTACAAAGTGTCCGTCAGGCAGGTGCGGTACTGGATGTGCATCAGATACGCAGGGTTATTCTTGCCCAGATCATGCATAGCCGGCCTGAAATCCTTAGATCTGTTGTCAGTAAGGATGGAAGCATATTTGCGGCAAGCACAAATTGGGTCCGCAAGTTTCTCAGAGATGAGATGAATTGGAGTCTTCAGCGGGCGACACACGCAACTCAGAAAATTCCACGAGATGCTGCCCAAAAGCTCCGTGCTTTGCTCCTTCGCCAGGCTTATTCCATTCGTCAATATGCGATACCTGACGCCCTCTGAGTTAACTCTGATCAGACACAAGTGATATATCAGCAAAGCTCAACATCAACATACGAATTAAAGGGCTCACGTCAAATCTCCACCATTGGCTATGACGAAAAATGGGCATTCACACTTAATGTTGCTATCTCAGCTAGTGGAGTTCTTCTTCCGTTCCAAGCCATATTCCGAGGGAAAACCTCAGCGAGTCTAGCTTCCGCAAGTGCATTGGGTTTTTGTTAGAACTGTCGGATTCGGACGACTCCGGAATGGAATCGGAGACTTTGTTGGAGGAGCAAGTCATAATGGGTGTTGTGCACTTTCCATACTTGTCTCGATGTGTATTTACATGTATTTACACCGACAAATATATCTTCAGAGTCTACTGCCATCCCAACCGAGCCGCCGCACTGAGTGGTGCAACTTTAGGTTATGAGCCCAGAGCGGCTCACCTGGGTTGGTTCAAGTATAAGTCCACATGACTCTCGTGGCACCCTGGCCAGGTTCAAGTGGCTTATGAGGAAGACTTCAAGTTTGTCTGCGATAAGTCCTTGAAAAGGCACGCATCTTTGGAAAACCCAAGGCTGAGATACAATCTTGGAAAGCCCTATTTGAGGCTGATTGCAAGCCCCTTGGATGAAGCCCTCACACTGGGAATGCGGCACAGACTACCACTCCTTCTCTATTTTCCATCGTGCCACGTCATAAAATTCCCACAGTCTTTGCGCTGCGAACCATAACCCTCTGAAGCATGGAATGCTCTCAGGAGGGACTTGGAGATCTCTTGGGCTGATCCTTTGGATCTTTATTCTTTGGGACTGATATATTCCACATGAATGAGAGGAGGACTAGGAACTGATTTGGACATGCGCGCGCGATTCTTGCGGCTTTTATGCATGCAATATACTCCCTTAACATCGCCTCAAGCAATTTTACTGTTGACTCCACACCCCTTGGGCTGGGGGCATGATGCAAATTCAACAGGACCGGGTTCAGCTTGGCTCCGGACCATGCTTTATAAAAATGCGCAATATTTCCACTTCCACCTCCCATTTTCGTCCTCGCTATCACACCAATTGGCTCCGGCCTTAATCCACCTCAATAAATCAACAATCACATACTGCAACATCTACAAATGCGGCAGCGTCCTATGAGTCAGCTTATAATCAGCGACTCCGATGCAAATAGCTATGGAGCGCAACCCGCTTTTCAATGCATGCAGGGGGGGGGACTAAGATTCCCTTTTGAGGACAAGGATCTTTTGAAGCGAAGACATATGTGAGCAAAAAAAAAACTCATGCAAAACTACCATTCATGTCCCGTTTGCCCATTTTACGATCATTTTCGTGCACAATCCATTCCTTTCCAACAATCGCCCTGTGACCAATCCGAACCACCATCACACATGCCCCTTTCCCTAACACCTGAGGGGGAGAATAGTCGCTATGCTTCAATCAGCTGTCATAGAAGGAGGGGGAGCTGCCTAACTAAGGGCATTGATAATAAGGAGTGGGTGGTATAATGCGACCAAGAAGGACGCTGAGGGGGAGGTCATCAATTTAAGGGCACAGCAAATGGAGGAATCATAAGGCCATCAAACATTTCTTTATTGGCATAGTCTTTATGACAGCCAACACCTTTGTTGCTCATCATATTGAATATGGTAATGATTTCTACATTCGTTTTTGTCCTATGGACAATTTTCTATCAACCTCTCCTATCAAGTTGTTACTTGATTCCACATTCATTGAATACTTTTGGATCATGACTTGAGGGGGAGTGTTGGAGGAGCAAGTCATAATGGGTGTTGTGCACTTTCCATACTTGTCTCGATGTGTATTTACATGTATTTACACCGACAAATATATCTTCAGAGTCTACTGCCATCCCAACCGAGCCGCCGCACTGAGTGGTGCAACTTTAGACTTAGCATGGAAGGACCTCAGCCTCAGCGACTCAGGCGGAGCGCTGTGCCATTGCTGGTTGTCCTGGGGGTCCCTAATTTCAGATCTAGCAGAGGGAAAGTCTCTTGGGGGGAATTCAGGTCGATTTCGGACTGAGGTTACAAGTTACTATGTACATTGTATATAAGGAGGGGTCCGGAATCAAAAGGAGCAAGGGTACTCCGAAAGGAGACAAAGGGAGCTGGAAGGAGGAACAACACCGAGGGTCAAGGGTTTGACTCAATGGTGTTTCTCAAAGGAGGAATGAAGGGCCAAGGCCCAAGGAGGAAGGAAGGAGGTTGGGAGTGGGGAATGGCTAGCTGACTGAATAGAAAGGAAGCAGCAGCCCAAATAGGAATGAGGGAGAATAGCGGAACTGAATAGGACAATGCAATAGTTGCAAGGTCCGACATAAGTCCGGAAAGTCCGAACTCGGAAGTTAAACTCCGGAATATTGGCAAACATAATTAAATGGAATGAGCTAACCAATACAATGGGTATAAGCGGAGGTGGGGTCAAAGTCCGAGGTCGGAGCTAAGACCGGAGGTTCCGGAGACAGAGATGCGAACAGGATTCCGGAGCGGAGGTCCGGAGTCGGGAGCATAGGTTTTGCATACTCGTCTGGAAGGTGTTGAGGTTGGGGTCGGACTGTCAGGGTTCAGCACCCTGCCCTAGGGTGCCCCAGACTCCCCAACCAATCCCTTCCTTCCATTCCTTCATTGTTGCCTTGTTGTTGCCTTTCTGTGTTGTGTATCCGCGTGCACGGGATAGCGTGGGAACTTTCTGAGCGAGCAGCTCGCCCAGAATGTTCCCACGGGTCACAGCCACAGTTCTGGGCAAGCAACTCGCCCAGAACGTTCCCACGCTTACTGGGCACTGCCACCTGGATGTTCCCTCCGGGTCACACTACACAACTCTAAGAGCTGTATAGTTGTGGGCATGTGACCCATTCCTTTATATAGCAACCATGCAGGGAGATGAGACCTTTACCCTTCTTCTCATCTCATGCCCCACATAGGCAAGTGTATATATTATCTTCCTTTTACTATACATCTCATGCCCCGCATAGTGTGAGGACAGGTTAGATGGGGGTTGAGGTCAGGGAGCCTCCGAGTCCGAGGCCGGGCCCTGATACGGACCCGGAATGTTCCGGAGTCGGACCGAAGGTGGTGTCCGAGCCGGAGGTGGGATAACCTCTTGGGAGTCGGCAAGGAGAAGGTGACGGAAGGGAAGTAGGGCTCCGGAAGTCGGAGTTCGGAGTTCCGGGAGCCCGGAGCGGAGGTCGGGATTGTATGGATATGACAGTTTTCAGGAAGCAAAGGAGTTGAGATTTCTCTTCAAGTATTCTGGGAACGACACATATTGGGCTAACCTGACAACAATGAAATCATTCGTGGTCAACATCCTGGTTCCTTATTTCAACAACGAAAAGGAAAGGCACTCACTTGACCCCCTCCAAGAGTGTATCTGGCAGCTTGACGTTTGGCCAGTGCACACTTCACTTGAATTTCGTACTTGGATGTACAAAAATTTCCCATGGATCATACTCGATTATGTTCCTGGTGGATGCACAGGTCTCTGGCAACCCTGTGATGTTGGGATTCAGCGGCCACTTACAGCAAGCGACAGAAAAAACCGCACACCCAATTTGGATGAATGACCCAGGCGGGTCTTGTGATGATCCAAAATGGCAGTAAATCAGGGTACCAATACAATCTCCATTTTGGCACCCGTAACTGGGGTCCTAAGGAACCTAGCTTGTTTTGCATGTAACACTCGACACACACACATGCATGCATAATAGCATTACTCATGTGAACTATGAAAGAATACTAGAGGTAGCCCGCATGGCGAAACCAACTGCGAGCCTTTTCTGGTGTCACAGTATACACTGCACCCAGAAGTAGGTCTGTTGCACAGTGAAGCGACTGTGATGCAAATTCGTTGTTGACATACATCCGGTTACGTTGCAACCAGAACTTGATAGATGAAAAAGCTGCTTCAATTGGGTTAAAATCCGGGGAGTATGGGGGGAGAAACTCCAAGCGGACACCGCTACAGTAACACAAGGATTAGAATAATGATCCCAAAACATTAGGATACTCACTGATCTTCACACATTTGTACAAGCCGATTAGATTTGTGAATAGGAGCATTGTCCATCACAAGGACTGAATTTGGCCCGGGGAAAGGATTCATCTTTGCAAGAAGAGCTTCAACAAAATGATCAAATGCTTCAGCCGTGTATGCCCCAATCTGGATGTCACAATACAGAATCCCTTCCAGCGACATTGCTGGAAGGACGGAATACCTAGTAAGACGGTCATCATCTCATGCTATATCATTTAAATCCTAGGATCACCTACTTGGTACCGCGAACAAAGAAGTCACGGCGTCGTGCACGTTCTCCACGGGGGGCCCAACCATGGGTCCGGGCTGCCGTCTGACGGTTAACTCCTGTCTCATCCACAAATACTAGCTGTTCAGCTCGATAATTTGTTCCCATGTACTGTCTAAAGTCAGCACGCCTATTTTCATCTCGCTCAGCTGCCACTTTCTGAAGCTATGATACATTTCAGCGATAAGGCCATAGTTAGATACTGATAGAATACCTTTTTGTCTGTTAGACCGCGGCACTTCATTTCACGAACAATTGTGCGTTCACTGACTTCAATCTGAAACTCGTCATTGATAGACTTCTGCAGCTCAGAGAGTAAGAGATCAGGCTTCATTTCAATCAAACTGTCCAAAAACTATAGTGGGGAGTCAGGGGAAAGCGCAGTTCAAACACAGAAATGTTACATTGATAGAATGAATGTTCAGAGAGCGAGGTCGGCCACGGGTTTCAGCAAGGGGACCACGACGATGCTTTTCTGGGTTCCCTAGAATATCATAGATGGTGCGGACAGGCACCCGCGTTGCTGCTGAGATTTCTAACACACTCATGGTCTCAGACATAGTGATGAGGAGATCCTTAGCTGGTGGTTTGAGGTGTTTGCCCATTGTTACGGGTGAACACGGTCAAGAGAGTGCCATTGGGACGGGGTGATTAGCACTCATTATTTTCCTAAATTGTCAATCAGCTGTTTCCAATATATTCAGAATTATATTGAATAGTATTCATCCAAATTAGGTGTGCGGTTTTTTCTGTCGCTTGCTGTAAACATGTGGTGAAGCGATCACAATAGTCAGTGACTATTCAAGAAGTCTACTCACAATTACAGAGTGGAATGGACTCACAAGATGTCAAACTCGATGCAAAACTCAGCATCCTCCGGGACCGTGTCCCCAGCACATTACTCCACACTTTCCATGTCATAGACGAGCAAAACAGGGTTCAAAAAGTGAGTTGATCGGATTCAATCTGATGGTACACAGGTGCTTACCCATCCTTAGGCCTTTGAGCTGTGTCGCTCAGGCAAGTTTGATCTATCCCATGCCAGCCTGACAAGCCGTCCGCTTCGTGTCGTTCTTGATGATCTTCTACAGACCAACTCAGACCTTGCCAAAGCAATCATGGCACCGCAGAAGTGCCCAAACAGTGTTGCCCCAGATCCTAGTCCCATTGAACATGAAGGCGAGTTCACGGATGCTGCGGAAGATGATGTAGAAGTCAAGATTGAAGACATAATCAAACATATGGATGGAGCAGCGGTTCCCGATGGCCTCGAGGCAGTTCAAGGCAGTCTCCAGACAGCTTCAACCTGTGCTGAGGAGGCTGAAATTGAGGAGCTTGGCAACATCTCCACACTCCCTGTGCCTATTCATGGGCAGGAACTTGGCCATGGAATGCGAGCAAGGCGCACAAGAAACTTGGAAGACCAAATGAAAATTTTCCTTTTTTGAATGTAAATACATTCCAGAAATGGAAAATTTGAATTACCTTGCATAGCCACCTTGCCTGCCAACCGGCTGTGACGTGTGACAGACCCTGAATTTCGACCGGACCGGGAGGTCGCTGTGACGTGTGACCGGTAGTTGGTCGTGTGAGTACAGTATTCAACTGTGAGCCTCCTATTGAAGTTCCGATTACAAACTCAACTTCACATATTGCTCAAAAGGATGATGTCGAAGAAGAAGAGGGTATTGATAGAGAGGTGGGGGGATCAGGAAAGAAGGGAATGAAGACCCTCTATGATTTCGTAATATCAATTCCATGCAGCCTCTAGTCCAATGATCACACCTTCACACCCCCCTCAATTACAGCAACCATCAAAAAAATCTGTGCATCAGATTTGGATGCATGACCCCAGTCGGATCTCGTGCTTGTCCAAAAATGGTCGGAAATCAGGGTCAATTTCAGTGTCAATACATTCAGCATTTAGCGCTCGTGGTGCTGGGGTCTTCAGGTTCACAAGAGCCTCTTCCGTACTCATGTGAGGCATGGATAATAATATAGCATGAATACTTAGAGCGTTGTCGGCCACGGGTCTCAGCAAAGATGGTCAGGGGATTCCTGATAAGGCAATACTCAACTCGCAATCAATCAGAGGTAAGCTAGAAACTATCTTGTCAACACACGTCTGTGCATATTTATATGTACATGAAATGTATTACAATGTGAATATACATCAAATAGGTAACTGCGCAAGCACGCATATGCAAGCATGAATATCCTGGAATTATCTGGGGATTTCCCACAACAATCCAGAATATTCTGGCAGGTTCTGGTCACTTGCGGATTCCATGGATGGTGCATGCAGACAGCTGGGTTACTGCTGAAATATCGTGTGTGCTCATCGAGTTAGGAATCGTGATGATTAGATCCTTGGCTGCGGGTTTGAGGTGTTTGCCCACTACATGCATGCGCAGCCGCTATAACAATAGAACGATGAGTAATATCCTTTTTTGGTGGTGCCATTGGGACACGGTGATTTTTTCCCTAAATCGCAAATCACATGTTTTGCCTGATATATCCATCAAGATTTGACGCGCAGATTTTTTTGACGGTTGCTGTAAATAAGAAAAACAAACTGTATAAACAAACCTCTCAAATCTAGCAGGGCCTCAAGGACCCGGCAACCTCTGCACAGGCAAGGTCGGCTGAGACCCAATCCCGTTCCCAATCATCACCTGCCTCCCGATACTTGGTACACCGTTCACAACCACATGCAAAAACGCAGACCCCGGCGCAAACAACGCAGGGTTCGGTGGGACTTGAGAGATGAACAACGAAATCGAGTCATTTGAAGTAGGAGTCGCTGTGCTGTTTCTGTTGCACATATAGCAATGCCATCGTTATCAGTATTTGAAAACAAACAAAAAAAAACATTCGATGTGGGAGGAAGGAAAAGCACACCCACAATTCCAAATACCTCTGTCCCATGTTCAACCCATGCGTCGAGAATCCAGTTCGAATAATGATAACTCGACTACTCGTCGCGGCCACACTTGGCGTCAGCCCCTGTAAACTCGACCCATTCAACTGAATCGTGAAGTAATTTCCTCCATAGGACAATTGTCCCGGGATCGTCCCGATAGGCTCAGGCCTTACGAGGTTGTAGTACCACGGGAAGAATTTCTCCGTTCGGTATTCAGTGGGATAAAGCCGCGTTTGGACGTCGTTATTGGGGTTGGAACCTGCTATGAACACAGAACCTATTAATGTTTAAGGCCAGGGAGCAGACGTGAGTTTCATCCAGAGCTAAGGAAAGAAATAAATGATACCATCAGGAAGAAGTATAGCCGAAGAATGATACAGCCTCGGAACGTCGCTCGTCCCAAGTCCCGCACGATTGAACGACCTCGTGGCAGGATCGTAAATCCTAGAGGGATGACAATGACAATTCATTAGGTGCCAAAAAGAGAGAGAAAGTCGATATTGGCATCAATCAACGCCGAAAAAAAAAAAAACCTACACGGGTGTCTGAATCGGATTCTTAGCAAACGAACTTCCAATCAAATACGACCCTGATCCATATCCCGCCGTCCCTAAAAGAATGAAAACAACATCACGACCCTTCAAGGGAGAAGCTCAAAAAGGGGAAATGCCAAACTTACCAGTCCCCGCTCCATTCCCTAACCAAATCTTACCATCCGGCAAAAGGACAAAACTCCCCAGCGTTCTCCCCTCAGGTAACGTTGCATCCTGACTCCAGCTGCCTCCACCATCCGGCGTGATCCTCACACAGCTATCGCTCGCTGGGTGGTTCACCAATGCAGCGGACGGCGTCCAATCGCTTATATCCTGTCCTCCGCACATCAGGATGGTCGCCGTATAGCCATTGGCGGGGGTTAAAGGGAGGAGAACGGCCGCTCCGCCTGCTGGGTTAGTGCGGACAGCACTGATGTAGGGGTGTGGGAGGTGGGAGTCAGTTGGTATAAGCAATCTCGAATCGAAAGTGAAGAACTCATGCTGGGAATCGAAAAAAGAAGAGGGGAAAGGCAAAAAAAAAAAAAAAAAAAAGCGTAACAGAACAAATTAAAATATTTACTCACGCCGGAACGTCCGCAATCCTGGTCTCAGTGCCACTGCTAGGATCCAAAATCGCCGTCTCCAGATTCGCCTGAATGAAGAGTCGTCCAGAAGGTAACAACCAAGTTAAGGGGTAATAATTAGCAGGGAGAGTATTGACTAAGAGATTGAGCGTTTTGATCCCGCCTCGGGATGGATAAAATTCGTAGGTCGGGTTGTTGCGGGTTGCGTCTGTGTGTCATGGTTGTCGAGTCGAATAGTAGATGTTGCGTGGGGATGTCGAAGGAAGGCGGGGGATGGTAGGTAATCAGTTAATTAGTATCGCATCGATTGCGTCCGATCGACACGACGCCATTGATTCGAAGGAGTCATATGATTGGAAGATGAGCAAATTATTTGATGAGGGAGACGAACCGTTGACGTAACCACCGTATGTGGATCCTCCAATAATGATCACTCCTCCATCGTCCATTGGCTCACTGGGATGCCGAACAAGCACCGTTGAAAAGGGGCAGGGACACAAGGATGGAGAGACGGTTGGGGAAAATGAAGTGTTCAAGTTAGGCGCAAAAGGATGAAACTTCTCCCATCAGTCATAAAACTTACACTGTAACATACCACCTCCTCGTCGAAATGTAATTCGCAGGATTGTCATCCCACTCACAATCGCCTCCATCACAAGGCGTAAGGAACCTCACCCTGATCCCAAAGCATTTATCAGTACATGATACTCATCTTCTCTCCCTCCCCCTTGCCTCAAAAGCGCCAAGGGAAAACAAAAAGGAAACAAATCCACTCACCCAAACCCACCATCACCATCGTATCCAGCCACTCCGAGATTGCCACCGACACTAATCCATCTCCCATCCCCCAAACTAGAACCCCCAGCGCACCACGTATTCGTCTTGACGTCCATCGCACGTACCCCATCACTCGAAAGCGTATACTCGGTCGCGAACGCCGAATGACCGTTGACTTGCAAGGAGTTGCTTTCGACTTTATCTAAGATGTAGACCTAGAACTCGACATGTGTCATCATCACGGTGACCATGGCGTAGCGAGCGGAAAAGAGAGGAGGGAGGAAAGTCGTCAATCACTTTGTCTCGGCGTCAATTCGGAGAAACAAAGAACGCGGGCGCCAGGGGCGCGGGATACGTCCGACCGTGGGACATCTCCCCGGTTATCACAACAGGACTCTATATCAGTGAGAGCGGCGCGCTCATATCGAAAGGAATGGGGGAAAACAAAAAAGGGGGGGATGAACTCGAGGGTTTACGCTGTAAATAAACTCACCTTGTCTGCCGTTCCCAAGAACATCATCTGTGCCGATACACCACTAGAGAGAAAGAACGTCACCAATCAGACAAAAAGGTTCCAGCGAGACAATAACGAGCTGACCTGTTCCCAACTACTTGAAAGGCATTGGTAGTAGCCCTACGTTCGATCTGACGCCCAAGTTCCCGATGCCCTTCGGCTCCATCTTCAAGTTTCCCGGAAGGAGAACGGGCGAGGACCTCTGAAGAAGGAAGCCTAGCAGCGAGTGCTAGGAAGGGTGTAGAGAAGACAATGGAGAAGAAGAGTTTCAAGGAGACTGAGAAAAGCATGATTTATAATTGGGGATGACAAGCGTGAGGCGTGAGGCTAAGGGATGTTCATCATATGGAGAAGGCGTTAATCGTGTCATAGAAAGTAAGAGAGGAATGAAGGGGTGCCTTACTAGAATGACTCCAAGTCAAAGAACTTGAACAAACGAGATGGTGCAGTAGGTCAAGTCCAAGCTGGTCGCGTGTTATGGAGAAAAGAGCAAGAACGCGGCGAGGGCGAAAAGGTGGAGGCAAGAGAGCGAGGAGACGGGGTGCTATATACGTGAGCCACATGAGGGGGAATAGCGATACTTGACACGGACAACACACATAGGTACACATGGTAGGCAGTAGGAGGAGATTGAATTGTGGTCTGACGTGGGAAATCAATGAATATAGCGGGGAAGGAATATGACCAACGGAGAATTACGCGGGGTAACGTTTCCGCCAATTCCAAATCGGCACAACCCGTTCCAATGACGTAAATGGATAATTCCCCAGCACAAACCACTCTCCAACGTACCCTCATTGCCAAAGATCTTCCAGTCCGCTTCAGCTAACCTCTCATTGTCAAAGTACAAACCAATGGATCAGTGGGAGAGAGGAAGAAACTTGGGGGAATGGATTCCAAACTTATCGATAATCATGGTTCTATTCGTCCCTTTAACATATATGTACAAGAACAGGCCTAGGAAACGTGTTATCGACAAAACGGCAAATAGACACGTTGCTGACACACTAAGCCCAACATGTTCATGCAGACACAAAGTCGCTCACGCGAGGACTCAGCGAGGCCACCACAAATCGACGTCACTTCACCCAAAATTTCCAAAAAAATTCAATGGCGTGGAAGAATGGCACCCGGGATGCAAACCTCTTCCGGTGTTACGCGAGAACAACCTCCGGTGACACGCACATAAGCGCCACGAAATTCCTTGCTCCCCTTCATTCAATTCACTCTGATCAGAAGACGTAATAAATAGATCGATAAGATAAACATGGGATGACATTATTTAATCTTTGTCCCGTTGAAGTTTGTGTTCTGATGAAAACGCTTTTTGTTCATCGATGTACCCGTTCTTTTTTCCTTTGCTTCATGCGTGCAGAAGAAGGGAGAAAGCCCTGAGGGGGTTGATCTACCAGCATACACATCAATCCAGCGCCACTTTCAAATTTCTTACTATTTCCTTCTCACTCGTACGTAAAATTGGACCCGAAAAAATTGAAAAAATACAGACGATAGGGAATTGCAAGGCAGTCCTTCCCTCCATTACTCTCATTCGTCCACAGGAGCTACAGGGTGTGCATGAAGCGATAGCGATAGCACACGTCAACACCAGTATTGTCTAGAACATGAACTTGGATGTTGTCGACAGGAAGAATTATGTAGAACCGGAGGAGACAAGCCCCGAACACATTCGGCCTCGGCTCCAACGCTTCCGTAAGGTACTATCCCACACTTACCAATACCCAGTCACGTAAGAAACCGACAGCACAATACACAAATCAAATACGAACATGAGGGCAAGAGTCTGGATTCCGGGTGGAGTGTACCCTCATTCGAGTGATACAAAAAGAAAGAAGCTTCTTGTACCCTACACGGCACCAGTAACAACACCCTACTGCCACCTTCGCAGGGAAGGCTTTTCCACCTGTGCTTCTACAACTGATAGTACTCGATCAAAGTCAGTCCGTAAGAAAGTACATCTTATTCCTTACGTAACTCAGTGGCTAACTTCGCAGGTACTTTGGCTGATCGATTTATATGTCTGTAGGTACGTGGGTAACGGGCACTATGAATAATGGCATGGGTTAAGCTAAGGAAGATTTGGAGGATTGAAGGAACTCGTTATTTCAAAGACTGTCCTGGCGCCACCGGCCGGTGACCGCCATACGGAACGTCACAATGGACAACCCTATAATGTTGTACTTGTATATACCCAAATGAATTTTGCTGCCTCGGCTTCACGTTACTTGTGCACACCGCAACAAGCGGCGCTCGATCAATGCTGCACACAAACACAACATCCGAAGCCAATCGCGCCATGTGCGCGCACTTGCATGGCCAATCGTACGTCCGTTACGGTGCTATTTACGACTAGGAAGGCAGCAGTACCAACGATCGATTAGCGTAAAGGGGTACCATGGTAATCAGTGGAAAGACAGCTGTATGTAGTTAACCCGGCTCTATTTGGGGACTTGAAGCATAACTCTTGCACTAACATGCACTGCACTCACCGTGTAGCTGCAGGCAAACGGGTCGAACGGGTTAGACAGTGTTCTTACTTACTAGGGATCTCAAGATCGGCTGGAACCGCTGACAGTAGCACCGACATTTACCCCGCGCGAGGCTCGTCTCAAAAATTGTCATGTCACCCAATGCGTCATATAGCCTCACTCTGGGTGGGAACGGCGCTCCCAATGCAATGTACACCAGATCCTAACAACGAATGCAGACGGTGTATTGGTGCTTCGGCAATTCTCTCCAAGTTCTCGCAAAATCCCGGATCAATCTAGTTTTTTTTTTTTTGTTCCCTGACTGATGGAGCGAGTTTCCCTCGTCACAGAGATCGTTCCTGGAGAATATGAGGGTTTCGGATGAAGATAAGGCTTTCCCCGTGAAAGCCAGGTTGGATCCTTGGACTTCGCAGTGAGATGGCCGGGACTACGGAGACAGTACCAAACAGCTTCAGTGCACAGCAGGCAATGGTGTTTCTCAAACACCAAATACAATGCAATGTACTATTACGACAGGGCTAAGGGATGAGGGTAGCTGGTAGGAAGCCGTGTTGGTTGAGAAAGACATGACGACGTGCCGGTAAGCACATCATGTTCCATGCCCATGTCGGCTATGATATGATACAACTTTGAACATGTGCTACGTGTCTCACTGTTGACTACGTTCCACATGTAGCGCCTACGTGCATCTCATTTCTTTATCACTTTTGTCTGATATCCTGTTGTTACCTTAGCTAATTATACCCCCGTGCGGCGACAATGTTAATCAGTTCTGTTCCCCCGTTATCCGAGTGTCCCTCTTTAACAACAAGCCGTACGGGTAGCCCACACAATTCAAGCGGCGCAGCTCGAAAACTACTCGGATTCATGTTATAGCAATAAATGGATATAGGACTGGCTCTATGCAGCTGGAGTGGAGGGAGTAGCAGTGCCACCGCAACTAATACCGTAATTACCTCGCAGTCTACATATGCCACTACATAATTACGGTGAAATAATCCTCAATCCTTCCCGACGAATGTCATAGTATGAATGGCTGTGTGTAGCAGACGATATTTGTGCGCTTTTCACGGTCTAGGTAGTCTCTGTGGGGCCTTTGCTACCTGTTTCCCGATCCCGTTCCCAACTATGACTCGTTTCCCAATACTTGGTACTCCATTTACAACCACATACAAGAACGCTGTGCCAGGTGCAAACAGCGCAGGATTGGGTGGGACTTGAGAGACATGTATTGTGATAGATCCGTCGGCATTTGCATTTGCCGTGCTGTCCCTATTAATCCCACAACGTAATGAGCGAGATGAAGGAGGGGGAAAAAAAAAAAAAAGATGAAAATCCGTTGCTCACAATTGAAGATACCTCTGACCCATATTCATCGCGTGTGTCGAAAACCCGGTGCGTATAATTACAACCTTGGTCTTTCCTGCCGCCACTACGGGTGCCAAGCCTTGCAATCCGGCCCCGCGAGCGACTCTCACGTCAAAATAATTCCCTCCATATCCTAATCGATCCGGTAATCCAGAAATCGGCTGAGGGCGTGGGTTGCTATAGTACCAAGGGTAAAATTTCTCTGTACGGTATTCTGTAGCGAAAGTGGTGTCCGTGACACCACCATTGGGATTGGATCCTGCAATGAAGACGGAGCCTGAAAGATATGCATTATTATGAAATGGAGAGTCAGCATTGGGGACGATTCTGAGGGCGGAGAAAAGGGACTTGCCATCGGGAAGAAGGGTCGCCGAGGAATGATACATCCTTGCAATTGTACTCGAACCTAGCCCTGCCCGACTAAACGTCCTCGTCGAAGGATCGTACACCCTGCAGGTAAACCGGACGATTACGAAAAGACTTGTAGTGACCTCAAAACTTCACTCACACTGGAGCCAGAACCGGGTCTCTAGCATAGGACTGCCCAATCAAATATGATCCTGATCCATAACCAGACGTGCCTAACCCCGTGCGCGACATCAGCAGATGCACCCACATGTCTGCTGAAACGAGTTCACGCTTACCAGTTTTAGCTCCGTTCCCCAGCCAGATATTTCCGTCTGGTAAGATGATAAAACTCCCCATAACCCTCCCCTCCGGCAAGGTGGCGTCCCCCTTCCACTTCGCATCACCATCAGGGGAAATCCTCACGCAATCATTGCTGGCGGCTTTATTTACCAAGCTCTTTGATTGCACCCACACATTATTATTCTGTCCTCCGCACATCAGAATGGTAGCGGAGTAGCCATTATCAGGCGTCAGTGGAAGTAAAACCGTGGCAGCACTAGCGGGGTATGTTCGAACAGCACTGTTGTTTTTGAATTAAAATTAGTTCAAAAAACAAAACGCTTATGCAAGACCACAGAAACGCACTTCGGAACATTATCTAACCTGGTCTCCTTCCCGCTCTTCACATCCAATATCATTGTCCCCCAATTTGCTTGTACGAATACCCTCCCACTTGGTAACAACCATGTAAGGGGGTACATATTGGCAGGGAGAGTATCCTTGAGAAATTGAAGTTGCACGGGTAGGCCACGGGAAGGAAAGAATTCGTAGGTTGGATTGTTTACGCTCGGGGCTGCAAAGAGTGGAAAGAGGAGAGCAAATGGAACCGTTGGGAGGAAGGCACATGGATAGAGAAAGGGAACAAACATACAGCTTATAAACCGGGGGCCCGATGTAGCACCCCCAATGATGATCACACTGCCATCATCCATTGGTTCCCTAAGAGGGCAGATAAGCTCATCGTCAGTGGAATCGTCCAGATTTGAGATTTGAGTTGAATGCCAAAGAGTACCAGCCGAAAAGATAAATGAATACTAACACTGAAGGATACCACCGGGTTGTTGACATAGCATTCTTCGGGTCTTCTATCCATTGACACGAGGCATCATCACAAGGCGATATCAACCTCACGCTACGAATCATCAGTATAAAACGAACTCAATGATTTTAGAAACACTCACCTCTGGCTTCCGTCTTCATCCCACTTCGACACTTTGCCAGTGCCACCAACATGCACCCACCTCCCATCCCCCAAACTTGAGCCACCAGCACAAAATGTATCCGTTCTGATATCCATCGCTCTAAACTGGTTGTTAGAAAGCGAATATTCGGCCGCCCAAGCGGGATGGTTGGCTATTTGTATCGGGTTCGATTCTACACGGTCAACGATGTAGACCTTTTGTTTGTGGCAGAAAGGATCAACAGCAGCGAAGGAATTTGTGATTGCCATGATACGCGAGTTAGCAAAAAACAAAACTATTTTTGAAGTAGATCCTGAACTGACCTTGTTCTCCGTTCCAAGGAACATCGCCTGTGCAGCAACTCCACTGAAAATATTACAATTCCGGGTTCAATTCCTATTTTTGACTCCGATTCGATGGACACAACGCACCTATTCCCGACAACCTCAAACGAATTTGATTTGGAGGCTCGACGAGTCAGAACTATGGGATCTGTACTTGCATTCCAGCGAGCCCCATCTTGACCTCCATACTGGGAACGAGGGGACGGCAAACTGGCTCCATAGACCCCGACGTGCGCACACTGTTGCTGAATGAGGAATAGGAAGAAGGGAGAAAAGAAGCTAAAGAATGAAGGGGTCGAGAGAGGCCTAGTTATCATGATCGCCAAGCAGTTTGTGAGTCAAGAGAAGCTTAGAAGCGTCAACGAAAGTCGATGAGGGGATGAGTGAGTCCATAGTGCACCTCTTGCCCAGAGTATATATAGATGTGCCAGTTCTCAGGTCGCCCTACACCCAAGGAAAAGAGTGAAATGTTACGTAGACGAGTACGAATGATCGTTTCATGTGCGCTGAATAACAGGACTCATGGGTGCTTAGAATAACAAGCAACGAGCAGGAGTTGTCACCATGTTGACCAGGACGGGCACTAACCTAACCGAGATGGCCGAATGGGTTTCATGACGGTAAATGGATCCATGAATGCCCCTCCCCTTTTCCACATGTGTAGGTCATGACAAATCAGGACCCTCCAGCGCCGACCACATAAGGATATCACACATACTTACATTGATTCATCCCAGATCCGACATGAGCGTCGGAACTGCCTTCCTATTTTATTTTCGATAAGTGGTCAGCGGATTCAAGTTGGACGAGTTTTGGATGTTTCCTTCTTTATTCCTGTCTGCACACATTTGTGACAGAGGCATTAGTCAACAATAGGTATCGCTCACTCACTCCTGGCATCATCCACCCGCACCCATTCCACGGTTTTGCCTCGACGTAAGTAAAATCATGGTTTCATCGTCCCTGATCCTAGTCCTACGGACGTCGACACATCATAGATACCAGGAACAGTGCTCGTGAGGTTGTTCATGCACAACAAAGACCGATCTGATATAAGTAATTAACAATCTAACCGAGCCGAACTGAACCGAATTGGACTAGAAATAAGTCTAAAGATTTTGGCTTATGCGCCGTGCGTGTATGACAGTGCGTACATCGGAGGAATAAGAGAAGCCGGAAGAAAGGAGAGGAAGAGACGTTAAAAGTTAAAGTAGGGCCAAGAACATGTCCATGGACGTCCTAGTACAATACTTGAGGGCGGATTGGTGGCACAAAGGGGAGAGTCACCACGTCCATTCATCGAAAGCATCCACGAAAATGACTCCAGAGATATTGCCCGCCCCGAGATGGGCGATCAGGACCATCTGACGGCAATCAGCGGTTGCGGGGGAACCGCCAAGCACGGCAAGGGAGCACAAGGAGCCTGAAACATGCTGACCGACGCCAGAGATCGGGTGTACAGCTTCGAAAGCCGGAGCACAAGGAAGGAACGCAATCTATATATTTTTTGCCGATCTGTTGAATCAATGATTCGTTAACAACAATAGAGCCCGTTGACGTAGCATGCAAGATAGTGGTTCCCCATCGGTGGTCACTTCGCACTCGAAGTCAACCTTGTATGGCAAAGTATTCTTCTCATGTAGTGATTTTGCGTAAAGCACTATACATAATCCACGAGTCACGCAGTGAAAGAAAGTATGGGCAAAAAAATGACTGGAGACACTGAATGTGGACTACGCCACACGGAACACCAGGATATCCCTCGCCGTCAGGGTGAATATTCTGATCGCTGGTGGCACCGAAGCATAACTTCCCCTGATCGATCAGCGGCCATGAGACAAGTGGGGGTTCCAGTTACAGTACTCCAGGCACGTCATGTGTATATCGGCACTCCAACTCGGCCATATCAGCGAAACCGCACAGTCAACAGAGTACCTCAATAGTACCTTGCACGCCCAGAAGGGTGCCGCAGTCAAAGAAGCATGTTGAAGACGGTCATCACGGCGTTCCAACATCACCTGTTGAAGAGCAAAACGGAAACCTCCGTCACTAACATTCGCACGTCTTGACTCACGCCTTCATTCGGAGAGGAAATCGGACTGTACGTAACATTTTCCACGTCACAACCATGATCGCGAGCTTGGGCTGTCAGCGTAACCAGCCTCTGTTAACTTGAACCGCATGACGCGCAATACTGTACTCATGCTCTGCCTATGACAAGACCCACTCGATACTTCCAGACAACACGATTTGTCAAACCGATGACACGACCACTCGGCGCACAAACGAGACTAAGTACATCGTGGCGTATCAATGCTTAAGTATTGAACGAAGTAGTTGCGCAACTATGTACAGCTTACTAGTAGGCAGAGCCACGGAAATATTACCCTCTTCCCAACGAAGATCCGACGTTGTCATGCTTTCAAACATATAGCACAACCTTGGATATGGATGGGCAATAGTCATTGTGCTCTCACTACATGCACAGCATAAGTTCACAATCGATTCCCTTTTGCTTTTGCTTGCCCACCACGTCTCTCCGTCTCTCCATCCCCCATGTGGCTTACGTGTATTTCCTTGTTCTTTCAAACTTTCGACATCGTCTAATCCTGCTCCTTTCTCCAACACGCAATATCTGTCTTGCTGTGTACTATCTGCCTCCTCCAGGCCACTTAGCTAGGCATCATCCCAGTGAGGCACCTATTATTCGTTCTCTCTAAGACTTTATTGACCCCTTCCCCACCTTGCTGCACACGATAAACAACAATCTGCCCTGCCCTGAACCACAAACATAACACACCACCTACTCCCTGTACTAACCTAAATAATGCTCAGTACCTCCTTTTCCCTGGCTTGCTACATTTGTGGATGGAGACGACCGCGCGAAGCATGCCGGAACCTGAGTCATATCAAACCCAGAGGAGCTCCTACGAATGGCCTTCTAGTGATATGGAATAGGTCCGTCGTTATTATTCTTCTACTATTTTTTTTGTTTATTGATCTTTTCTTCGCCATTGATAATGACGTATACGATCGTCCTGACAGACAGAAAGAAGTATGGAAGCAAAGCCCTTCCAGAAAATTGGTACTCGAAACCTGGAGAGGCATGCTCCCCGAAAGGGACGGCGTCCCGTCGGACTGGTTCAGAACCAACGGGATATTCCTGACCCTCCAAGTCAGTGGACCCACACGCGGGACGATCCCCGCTACGGAATTTATGGGAGGCAAACCGGACAGCGATCAAACACACGATACACCTCTAAGGCTACGGCGCCCTAGTCACAAACCCCCGGGCGTGCATTTCAACCGTAGTTGAATTTGAAACACCACTTTCCTTGGCGCGGCTGCGCAGTTTTCATGTGCAACCACGCACCTGATCGATATCCTCTCGTTTTGGGCTGCATTTCAACTGACTGAGCTATTGTCAAGGAGAAGATTTGCGGTGGCACAGGATGCGATCGACCACTGGGACGTGTGACACGCAAAATTTCAAGCGATGTGAAAGCGCACTCAATACGCAAATAACGCCCTTAAACATTTGGGTTTGAATAAAATGCGCTTGAAATTTACATCTTTGGTAGTCAAACTGACTTCAACCGCGAACTGGCATTTCCCAAGACAAACCCCAAATACATACATTTGTATCGCGAAGGCTACTGGGAAAACAAAAGAAACTGAATTCAACTTGCTTTCATCTCAACTATCACTTTCGAGCGCTGCTCACTTTGCGCACACTGTCGCCCCCTTTCATGCCCTTAAACATGGTTGGCACACCCCCCTGGTTTCCAGAGTTGCCCACATTCCCCGTCAATCTGATCTATGGTGACCCGTTATGGATCTTGACATCAATACATCCGATCGGACAGATTTCACTTGCGATTTAGTGTTGGCGCTAGCCAGATCCTGAATCCTAGTTTGTGGCCATAGCTTCACCTACCTGCTTCTCCCTTGCGAATCCTCCACCCTCACCAGCACCCTTGTTCTGCAAGGGATTATCTGCAACTTGCGGCTAAAGACTATTTGGGCATATGAACGGACAACATCGCAAGCGCAGATAACAAAGAAATTCCATTCGTTCGGGCAGGCATTGTGATTTACAACATCGGAAATTATACACATATGGCAGTCTTCTCACGATGAGCCAAAGCGAACTGAACACTCGAGTACGTCAATGGGACGAACTAGCGGTTCCCTTATTGGTTTTGAACATATTTCGCATCGTCTGCATAATCAACCATCAGCAAATTAATCCACTGAACCTCCTGAATGCAGCACTCACTGTAAAGGATCCCTGCATAACGATGAGTAGAGACGATTAGTAAGAGCGTGGTGAATGGTCCTGCAGTAGTCGTCAAGACTCACGTCCTTTCTGCGGTTTCCCCGAAATCTGGAAGACGGCGAACCGCCAGTCTCCCCGAATCCACACTTCTTGATTGCTTAATTTCTTGATGTCGTCTTGGCCGCTGATCTGAAGAACATGTGTATTCTTAACTAAGATTGGGGAATTGTATTCCTCGTTATTTTCGCTTCGGGAGAAAGGGGAACCCGGTGGGCGCAACGTGGATATTCAAGTTCATCAGTGCCCAGCGCAGACCAACTGTTAGCAATGTGTCTTACCGCGTAGGAAAGAATAACTCTGGTGATCGCCGCCAACCCCGATTGTGACTCGGCGTAAGTGCATAATCCTCAGCCGGTCGAAACGGTGTATGACAATACCTTCACTCTTTGGATTCACTTTAACCCAGGCCTTCCAAATACTGTCTTCCGGGAAGTATATGTCGTCGTAGTATTGAGAAGCAACCTCCGCCTCATTCTGCAAGTTGACTGCCAGTTCCGGATCAGCGGTCGACAGCACGAACTTCCAGTGTTGATTATCCGGATCAGATGTTTCACTTTTCGGGTCCCACAGCTGTATTTTCGCCCCAGGCGTCGCGACACCACGATCAAGATCGAGAAGAAACTTCGAGCCGGATTCCCGGGATTCCCGGAGATATATACTGAATAAAACGCAGTTTCGTCGGTCCAAACACTCCTATGAAGAACAGATACGGGAGAACAAATACCTGAATTTTGTGGGATCACGCTTGTCCGCCTCCCAATACCAATGTCCCTTGTTCTTGGAATCACTCGTGTGGATGATAGATGCTCCCGTCTTGACCTCTTTGACAGCGAGGTAGGATCCCGCCGAACTTTTAATGAAAAATGAATTGTTTTGCTTCTCATCGGCCTTCTCGAACGTCCACTACGATGAAATAATAATATCAATATCTGATGTCGATGTTTGTAATGGACCCGTACCTCTTGCCTCTCCCTTTTCGCATACTCTGCGAGTAGGTATGCCCCAATATCGGTATTGCTTCAAGTCGATAAATTAGCTTCATTTATGGAGGGCAAGGACACTCAAGCTAACTACGGGAAGGACAGAGGTTAGAATATGAATTTCTAAACAAGGAAAAAAAAAACGCAAACGAACCTTTTGATTGTCCTTAAGTTGGGCTACAGTCCCTGTTTTGCTATTGACAATCTGTTCGTCGTCCGTCATAAAATAACTCAATAACAATCGATGTTAAGCGCTCACCACATAAGGACGGTGGAATTCGAATGGCGAAGGAGGCTCGATCCGAACGAATTTCCACCTCTGATGGTCCTGCTTCTGCTGATCCGGAGGGCCCCAGAGAATGAGAGGAGCTCCAGACGCAGAACTACCATAACTCAGATTGACAGCCAGCTCCCCTTCGGGATGCGCTCCGGGATACAAAATTCTTAAGTAGTGATTTAGTGGGTTGTACCTCAAGCATTCGGGCACAAGGGTACGTTACTTGAAGGTATTCAGTACAGGGTCTTCAAAACGAATCCTCCATTTCTGCCCGGGCCCCTTCGTAGTGATGATGACCGCACCGACGACCGGCTTGCCATCAATGTTAAGGTAAAAAGGGCCCTGGCCAGTCCCGGAGTCGGCCTTGGGCCCGGTCTTGATGTAGAAGAGATCAGGCTGGTCCGCCTTTTCCAAAGTCCACTATAAACAACGATTTGCTCAGATGATATGAGAGTCATAAAGTGCTTCTGCTGGGCCGAACCTTCTGATTTTCAATGCGCTCGGGCAACAATTTATAGCCAACAACAAGCCTTGATGTCATCATGGTTCATGTTTAGTTCAATGATGCAACTGTCGAGTCAGGTAGTCACACTCACTGTTTAAACATATGTTACACATGAAACACACATTGATAAAGGCCCTAACTCACCGCGTTGTCGCCTCCCGCGGCCTCCGCCACAGTATTGGATTCATTGTTGACAATCTAAACATTGATATAAGTTCTGTACGCTCGAAGGGATGAGGTCTGAGTACGAACATAAGTATAGATATTTTCCTGTTGAGAACCCATGATGGAGGAGGAATTACTGGCTGCACCACAAGGGCATAGAATGAAGGCACCGTCGTGTTATATGGACAGTGGCGATAGGGGGCCGTCTTGGGAAGTAAATGGCGGCTCATTCGGGAATCCTCGTCGATAGGAATCATAACTCCGAATGTCTGTTGTACACCATGGAACCGATTCATGGCAAGACTGCTGATCGCTGCGAAGGGCCTGCACTTAGGAAAGCCTTCCCTGGTCAGGCCGTTCTCCAGGATTGTGCAGTCATTACAACTAAAATTGGCTATCTCCACTAATGTGAATTCAGAAGCCTGATGGAAGTAGTGGATCACAAGGCCCCTTAGAGAAACAACGCGCAAGGGTGAATGATCAGTTCAACTACAATCCCTGAACGGGGCCAGGGGCGAGACCGCTCTCGCCGATGATGGAAGCTCCACAACATCGGTTCAGATCTGGACCAGGATCGAGCCGTATGCATAATTCAGGCTTCTCGCTGCTTTTCGCTACGGAGGTCATGTTGTGCCTGGCGATATCATTGCATAATGACGATGCATGAAGCAGCGATGCGCGCGCAAATGAAAACGAGAGTGGGCATCGATTCACGCGCAACCACCTCATGGTCATTCTAAGCCGAATCCACTGGCCCGCACGTTCACATTTGTGCCAAATCGCCTCTCTGCGAGTCACGGGGATTCTCCAACTCATAAAAATGAAGAGGCACAACGCGGAAGGGTCAAGATCAGCTAGAACTCTGCGATGCGATCAAATATTATTGCATCGCCACGCGCGAGCGACTCTGGTGTCTCTTCCGCCGCCGAGGAAATCCGCGAACAGCAATTATACGACAATCATTGCTATAGCTGTGATTAATAGACTGTCCGTTGACCAATAACAAGTAAAGCTTGCGCGGGACGGACAAGCAAAACCCGAATCTAGCAAAACTTCTAATTATTGCGTGATCAGATTATGGGTGAAATCCGTTTGCCTGTCTCTAGCTTCCTACTAGTGCAGGTTCGAAAGTTTGATGGAAGGGGTGGGTCACAAGACCCCTGGAAAATTGAAACGCGCAAGGGCGAAAGCTCTGTTCAACCACGATCAGGATGAATTCTAGGCAGGTCACCAGCCTCTATTAGGAATTCCTGCTGAAGCGAATGATAGATAATTCTCTCGCCGAGGCTCTGGAACTTGAAGTAACAGCATCCATGTGAAGCCCGAAATATGGGCATGATCCCTGAGACCTTTTAAAGATGGTTCAGATCTAAAGGACGAGATTCATGCATTTTCTCAGCCCTGAAAATAGATGCGCACTCCACCTTTCCACGAGGGAAATAAATGAAGTAGATGCGCGCCAGTGAATACTGACGGATTGGCAGCAACGGCCGATTTGGTTTAGTTTTCCCGCTTAACCCCGGTGTATACAATGCTGCCGATCTCTGCATCAACGATAAGAATCAGCGGACAGGAACGTGAGAAAACCTGCATCTAGTCCCACCAGCCGATTTGCCAGCATTGTGTGATGAAATCGGTTCACCCACCTCTACTACTAATGCGGAGTGGCGGACCCCAGAACCTGGTGCACCATGACAACCGTTGGAGAGTTGAGAGGCGCAATGATCGTGAGCAAGGGTGAAAAACAACTCTAACCACAATTGCTTTGCGGAGATTGCGCAACTCCGCCGATGAAGCTGTCAAACCTGTGACCACGAGGCTGAATGGAAATTGATTCGAGCGCCAGTTCGATGACTTCGGTTGGATCTGACATGACCCGAGGAGCATCGATTCGTACGCCGCGGATCAACCAATGAGACTCTGTAGTCCGATAAGCAAAACCTGCCTCGATCCAGTAGAGCTTTTCATTTTCCATTAGTATCTACGGCTGGACACGCGGATTCGGAAGTCTGGTTGACTCGGAAGCATTGGGTCACAAGGCTGGCTGCAACTGGGCCAGGTGCTTGACATTGCGCCGCTGGGCGAGACTTCCCCCACCGATTGTAGAAGCCACGCCATGAGGCCGAATACCGCGGCATCCATCCGGTCTTATTAGTGATTAAATTTAGTCATTAGAATACACAGTATACACAGTCCTTTCAGGATACTTTTGCACGACTTCATGATGGGGCGGCATATGCAAACAGGCATGAACTGAATCCGATCAACGGTTTACGGGCTCGATTCCAAGAATGATGCAGATCTAGTAGACCAGCCAGAAGCCGTGTGCATGCATGCATCTCAGCTCTTACGAGATAGATGCCTTCAATGTCGTGCCAGGCTTACGACCTCTGACTCCAAGAATGTTGCAGATCTAGACCAGGGACAAGTTGCTTCTCAGTTCTTTCGCTTGGGAGATAGATGCAAGTCAGGGACAATACATGGAGCAAATGCTTGAACAGGTGGAAGACCCAGATAGGCCACGCTCGATCAGGTATCAATTCATGCGCGTCGCCCCCATGACCTTTCTCAGTCGAACCTGCCGAGCACGACCATGTTGGTAGTACTGTCCATCGGATGACCCGTAGAGTGATTTTTCGGCTAGGGCGGTTCTTCAACAATACGGAGCTCATGTTTCTATTGTTCATTTCTTGTCACAGCTCTTCATGCACCGATTGCGCATTTCCATTCACCCGATCCCTGGGTCCCCATTTCTTTGTGTCAAACTGGATACTATTTAGAGTCGCTCCGTCCATTATAAAGATGCCCTCATCCTAACAGCATACTTTATCCTTCGTGCAGCATGTCCGACATTTCCGGCTACGAAACGATCATCGTTCCCAACACTGGCCATAGGCTGGCAGTGACCTTCGTTCCTGGTTCTTGCCTACAGGCGGATGTTTTCCGTTTCGGGCTCGATACACAGATCGTAAGTTACGCATCGTCTTCGTCAACGATCTTATTTGAACCTGCTTCAGTTTCGTCGGGAGGGCCGAAAGATTCAAGTTAGTAATGGGAAGTGGGCAAAATTTGGGTATTACGACCATCAGATAGATTACACCAATAACAAGGAGGATGCGGTCGAGTGGAATATTGTAGAAACCGGCGCAGGCAGGTATGAAGGCTAAGCTCCCATGTACTGTCTCCGCCTACTGACCCCCCGTCACAGTCTGATTAAAGATAATCGTGGAAGGGCTTGGACTTTTGATCTTACAAAGGATTCTCACCGTGTACCAGTGGGTTGTGTCATACTCGCCTTTATACGAGGATCCTAAAGCTCCGTTGCAGATAATCCTGGATAACGTGCGGGAGCCCGAAAATGGATTACCAACGAAACTGCAGGAGTTTCACATTATTACTGGCATCCCCCCTCCACCCCCTGACATACAAAAGAAGCGTCTTGGGGAGGTTCCCCAGGTCCTTGAAGGAACAGTCGATATTACTGGAGCGAACAAACCGGAGAAACGCGAGGGTAAGACGCCACCTCCTCGACTGGAGATTGAGGAGTTTCGTAAGGACAAGCGGTTCTTTGCTTTGTACATTCAGGCTTTGAGTCAGTTAAGAATTTCCACGCTAAATTTTTTCACGTCATCCTTACAGTTTCCATCACCTCACAGTCGAAGTGAAAAAGTTGCCGGAAAGCCTCATTACGTCGTATTATCAGATTAGCTCGCTTCACGGGCTTCCTCTTATTCTTTGGAACAATGCCCCAGGCACAGGTGTCTACTGCCAGCACGCCTCACCCCTCTTCCCGACCTGGCATAGACCTTACGTTGCTCTCTTCGAGGTAAGTCATCAAATGTTCCCCACCATTCCTGGAACGCTGAATGCAGGCCTGATGCACTTCGTGATTCAGCAAGTCATCCAGGAGCGTGCTATCAAGATAGCAAACAGATATGCTGGCACAGACAAACAGAAATGGGTACGAGCAGCAGAGGATCTACGCCAGCCTTACTGGGACTGGGCCAAGGAGCGGGATCCGTCGTTCCTCAACATTTTTTTCTCTACACAGACTTTCGATATTGAAACGCCGGAGGGGAGCAAGCACTTGCAAAACCCTTTCCTTTATTATCAGTTCGACTCCCGTTTCTCGAAGAGCAGCTTTCCCGCCGAGTACCAGGGTTTCGACAGAACCCTTAGGCATCCATATAGCAGAGATTCGGCAGAATCCATCAAGAGGCGAGCCAAGAAAAAACCATCCGGTTCTAAACTAATGTTGCTTATGATTCCCAGTTCCTTCAAAGCCGCACAGAAACAACTTACAGTGAATACTCACGACCTGTTCGATATTCTCACGTGGGATGATTTTAGCAACAAGGCAAAAAGCGGGGGGGTCGTAAGGGAGGTACAAGCAGTCTGGAGGCGGTGCACGACACTATCCACAACATAGTGGGATTCAACGGCCATTTCAATAGCGGTCTGGGAGGTGCGATCCGAAAACTAGACAAACGAAAGACAGAACTGTTGACTTGGACTTCTCAGCTTTTGATCCCTTGTTCTTCCTTCATCACTCCCAAGTCGATAGGTTGTTGTCTCTGTGGAGTACGCTTCATCCGGACGTATGGGTTCATGAAAACGAACCAACAGGTTGGAGTCTGATTCTTGTCTGAGATCAGGTTCTGAAGGCTCACCACCTCCAGCTCTTTACCCATTCCGGAAGCCCAAGGACGAGGGCGAGGACACGGACAAATGGTGGACTTCGGCTGAAATTCGTTCTCATGAAACGTTCAATCACACCTATCCGGAATATCTAGACAAGAATGGCGGCCTCGTGCCCAATGACAAACTCAAGGCGCACATTCGAACGGAAGTCGACAAATTATATGGAAAGTACTCAATCTTCGGCGACGAGCCCACCGGAGAGACGCGGTCCGCTCTGTCGTGGTCCGTTCGCATTCTGTCAAAGCGCTTCGTGATCGACAAGAGTTTCTCTGTATTCGTCTTCCTCGAAGAATATCCAAAGACAATTGCCGAATGGAGGAAGAAGGCTGTTGGTACCCACGATGTTTTCATCAACTACAGCGCGCGCAACCAGTGCCCAAATTGCGACAGTCGCGCAGAACAAGACATTGAAGGCTATGTACACTTGACCTCCGAGCTTCAAGACCTTCAAAAAAAGAAAGCATTGGGGCTGAGCGAAAGCGACGTGGTCAATCACTTGAAGGAAAAGCTGTACCTTGGTATACTGAAGGTGATCACTTCACTCACGGTCGATCAAATGTCAACAGAGCATTTATGCTAAATGTCTCTTCTCACAGTCGGACTCGGCCGTGGTCATCGATTCAAAAATCGACGCAAAGGTTGTCTCGAGGAAGATTACCAGGACCAAAGAAGGGGATCTCATCATTGATATCCCTAGTGAACACAATTTCGACATTAAAATCGCTGACCCCACGAAGTAAATAGGCTCCCCATCTCCACAAAATTTTGAATGTTTTGTGTAACTGCGTCTGTACTACTAGCCTCAAAAATATGGTTTGTTCGTATCTCAGGTGAACCCTGAAGACGTCCCCAACGTCTGAAAATGCCGTGCAACAATTACCTAAGGCGCATGATACAACTTTATCACGGAATCACTTTTCTACCAAGCAGAAGCAGGCAAGGAAAAATTAGGGCCAAGAGTCGCATTTATCATGTACAATTCATGACTAAATTCCTTCGTTTGCTTATTCAGTTTGCTACGGTGTCTTAAATATAAATGGCGAAATATTGACAGGTTAAAGGTTCATCCTCATTCCCCGAGGCCTGTGGGCAACGGGCACATTGTACTCCAGGCTTTAATGGGTCCCCAAACAACACGAATGATACAGGTCCACGCACCGTCTCCGATGCCACACCGTGGCCAGGACCTCAACACGTCAGCGGGTGGATGGGGTACGAGTCTACTAGGACTCGGGGACGATTGGTACACAACGGCCTGGAAAACGAGCTTCCCCTTCCACAAAGGTAGCCTGATGACCATCGAAGGAACAGGTTTTGTGCAATGATTAATGAGATTGTTTCCAAGCGTAAGACCGGCACCGGACTGTACGGGTGTGGATGTAAACATAATGAACACCAAGTTGAAGTAATTGCCGATATCATATACCTAGGATGCAAAGAGTCCAACTAACATAATATAATATCACAGGCAGCGTAGGAGAATGTAGTCTAAGCATAGAAATCGTGTATGCAAGCGTGTGCCAGCGGGGGCCGGTCCGTGATGAAACCAGGAGAGCGATCAAGTTCACGCAACCCCTAATCTGTGCTCGCCGTGAGGCAATGATTATTATAGTGGAATGCAATGACTTACTGCCGTTTAGTGCTTTCGTAAACAACATACGATATCGAGACGGCCGGTACAACCTTGAAGCACGGATGAATGAGCGGGAGCTATGGAATGAACAAGGAACAGCTATGCTACCCACCTTAGCAAGGGTTGGGACCAAACCTTTGTAGAAACTCTTCCAGCCTTCCTTTGAATAGGTTTTCCTTATAACGTCCATCATTCCATCATACCGCTGGGGGTGCCCCGAAGAGCCGCTCGCCTGTAACCGTGTCCTGATTAGGTTGATTGGGTACACGGATGTAGCGCCCACGCTTCCGCTAATGCTCCCGAAGGCCAAGAGCGCTAATACGCCCGGCTCCGATATACCTGTTGAACGCACATATGCAAGTTTGAGGGCCTCAAAGGTGGACATGTCGATGGCGGAATAAGGAAATACCCCAACTAGACCAATCTGGGTGGGTAGGAGAATCAAGAGGAGAAAGGAGCAGTCGAAGTCAAGGTGGCACCCACAACAAGCCCGCGATAATAGGCAGGGAAACCACCTAACGCCCAGACACGTTTTATTGAAGGCATCAATGATCTTGTCTGGCTACCAGCGGTGCTCATCATTTGCGTCTATGAAGTAGTTAGATCAAGCTAAATGGATCTTCGGGGTCATAATTGCCTTCAAAGTCTCTATAGGATATATTGCTACGATTTACGTGAAGTGAGAGAGTATCATATGATAGGTCAAGTAGTCCTACCAAGTTGGCTCGTCATCCCACCAATGCCACCAGAGATGAATCGACTAACACCAGAAATCTCGCGTGGGTCGTCCACCTTATCGACGTATTTTGCAAATGCTTGTTTCTATGCCAGCACAGGAGTGCAGGGTGAGGTTGATAGAGGTTGCAAGGATAATGCGATACATACTGCAGTCTCGTACGACATAAATTTGATGGCCGATTCCTTTGAGCGATGAGGTTAGCCATACTAGAAAAGCCGAATGGTACACTTCGTACCGGCATTATTTTCGCGGTGTTCAACGCATTACCAACCCAAAAAGCTCGCACACCACCCTCAGCATAAATATTAAGGATGGCTCGCCATATTACCTGTGTCCCTCGTTGGAGTGCACTCGACGTCGCCGGTGCAGCATTCAATGAGATGTTAGAGCTCACAAGATCAATAGAAGTTGTCATCAAGTACACCTTCAGACGGTCGAAAGGGGCGGTTGCTGTCCGCGAGACAACACCGGCGACGCCCCCCGCCAGTAGGAACTTGAGGGACGAAGAGCCGAGGAGGTGGTGACTGTCATCTTCCTCTTCCTCTTCATCTGTATCATCAGCATCATGATGGTCATCGTACGAATGGTCAGCTGTCGGCAGCGACTGCTGCCATGATTCAGCTGTTACATGATGTGATTGGGTGTGATACGAGCTATCTTCACCACTCAGACTGACGTCACCTGGTATCAATCTCAACCTCAACCTCCGCGCGACTTGGAAGAGATCACACGAAAAAGCATACCTTCCATAGTGACACGTGCTGGGCCCCGTCCATCGTCACCCATGAGCCTCCTCATTTCATAATACTGGTGTATTTCTCTTGGAGAGATCTCTCTCGGCAGGAGTAATAAATAGTCGCGGAATTCTGTAAAGGATATGGCAGGGGAATCTGGAGAAGAAGTGACGGCAGTCATGAAATCAGATAAAGCTTGAGGAGACATATATATCCCTTGGGCAACCAAGTCAATATCGTCAGGTAGGTCGATCAACAGAACACTCACCCGTTTTTTGCAACGCAGCTGCCCATTCGGCGGCATCTAAATGTCCATTACCGTCGAGATCTAGCTCATCATGAAAGATCGCCCACAACTCTAGAAACAATGTAAGACTCAAAAGCGACAAAGGATGGATTTCGCTTGCCTCTCTCCTTGGCATCCGCATACCTCTTAAACGCAACCCAATCCAAGCGCGATGAGGCATTTTGGCCACGATAATGCGATGGATGCGTGCACTTTCCAGTCAATTCAACGAGGTATGCGTGCTTCAGCGCTTTTGCCCGTTCGGAGGTCATCTCAACGTTCAAAGTTGAGTGGAATTTTTTGTTTTCTGCTGACAACACCACAGGCAAGCTTTCCCACACGGCCCTAAGGCGCGCCTCTCGCTTCTTCTCGTCCTCCAGATGTCTGTACTCGCGCAAAGATTGCGGAACTGAAGCGTTGGAAAAGCCTGAATGCGATTCTGGAAGTGGTGGAGAGTTGCTACACTCTTTCCGACTATCCTCGAGCATGTTGGGTTTATATGCAGCATGTGACGGGCGGCATGCTACATCCCCATCCTCTTTGCCTGAGCCGAGCATTGCCCGCTACTCTGGCTGCCTGAGCGAAGCAGGCCAGATGACCCGATGGGGAAATTGCGTGAGATCAATGAACCCTCAGGTAAGGCTGAGGCGTAAAAAATCCCCCGCCTCAAAGAGTACAAGTTTAAACGAGCGACGGAAGCTTCCGATATAGACCAGGAGATGGCTAACAATGGCACCCAGGGAGGTTCTCCGTCGGGTTCTTGCCAGAAAAGCACAGCCACTGGTCACGATACAGTACTATTCATACACAGTTCATCAAACATTCGCTAAACACGGTCACCACATACATAGATGGCCAGACACTTGATGTCGGTGCGCGTCTTTTTCTATTGCTGGCTACTTACCTAGCATCTTGCAAACTTCGTTGGGCGCCAGAATATTTCTGGTTCCTGGAGATACTCGCAGTTGCGGTCCGGTCTGGTGTGGATCCTGCCTAGTCTGGTGTCTGGTGCAAATCGCTCAACTTGAAGTCTGCAACATCTTCATATTCCCCCACAATATCACATTGGGTAGTACCATTCACGGTGTTTGGCTCTCTACCACACATCCTTTTCGTACCACACTTTATTCTCTGAAAGTTTCTTCTCCCGCTCTTTGCCCCGACGCCTGTAGCCCCGGTCTCCACATCTAGGTGACGCCGATCCACCTATTGTGGCTCAAGTTCTATCTGGAAAGTAGTGGACTACGTTCCGCAGCAAAACGTCCTCATTGTTAGGCCCAAGGTCTTTACAGAATTCGTGATGAAGAGCTCTATATTCAAAAGGCAGCCAGCGAAGGTCTCGCACAATTTTAGTGCGTGCTTACGTGCGTGATGGGATTCGGAACTTGTAACAGAATGTCGAGAACTTTCCTGGACTTCCTCCACCAGATTTCAGTATCAAGCTGGACAGATCCTATCGCTAGAGCACGGGAGGAGTTCGAGTGACAATCCTCCATTAAAAATATGGAAGTTGGACAAGATGTCGACGCCACTCCACCCTCGGTTCAAGGCCCACTGAAGTCCCTGCTTCTGGGTTCCGAGTGAGCTAAAGAACCAGGTGCGACAACGCTTTCACCCCCCCCCCTCCCTACCAGCCGGAAACACCCAGTAGTGGACTCAGTTTTCCCAACGATCGGATGAGTTTTTCGCGAAGAGCATGCTGCGCTCGAGGCTCAAAACCAGAGGAATCTGGACGGTTGATCTCACTGATCCTAGGCACGAATCGAAGGGTGGTCGATCTTGTTGCCTTGAAGTCTATGGGACTAATCATACATTCGTAGGGTATGCGAGAATTCTCATGAATTCGGTCATAAGCAGAGCCGTTGGCTCAAATCCTCCCGCACCTGTCTACCTCCCAGCCACTGGGGATCGGGCTAAACCAATTTACTCCCGACTGGAGTTTGAGGTATGACGAATTGTCCTTCGTTGAGTAGTTGTTGGCCTGATGTCCGGACGTTACATGAATCAGACGATCGAGGAAACTGAGAAAGGTGAGGTGAATCGCGAGGGCGTTCGTGAGATGGGACTCGAGGCCCCTGGAATAACCCCAGTTATAAGTGCAAAGTCAACGGCGTCATTGACGTCGATGGAAATAAGCTATGGGTCCCGAGGAACACATGCTTTGATGTCGAGTCTAAGTGTTGTCCACTAGTAAACAACGGGAATGAAAACTCAATACACATTCCTGAGCCGTTTGGGTTGCCCCATATGTAGCTCCCATAAAGTCACTGACATGCTATAATATTGAGAATACGAAACATCTACGTGTCAAGATGTATTGCAACCCCTAAGATAATATTGTGTGGACCCCATACGAAACCACGCCATCGAGGGATTCTTGATATATATTCACGCTTGACACCATTATGAAAGCCACAAGTGAGCGGTCCACCCAGCACCACATCGAACGTGGCCACCTTATATTTAATAGTCATGTATGCGCCATGTCCTTGCGCCGCTGGCCCATTGTCGCGGAAGGGCGCAATGCTTGGTGGGCGGTAAATTAGCCATGACAGTCGGAGCCGGCCGGCACGAGAAGTTACAGCACTGCCACCGAAAGGTTTGCTCAATCTTCCTACTCGATCCATACACCTTTGGTACGACCCCAGTACGACCCCAGTTAGGCACATTATCGCCCTTCATTGGGGTAGAGTGTCCAGTGGCATGTCGACGGGTCCTAGTTTTTTCCCAACACCAGCCCTCGTAGGTTAAAAATTTCCAATTTCTGGAGCCTGACTACCTGATGACCTCTGTGCACATCGGCAGGACCATTCGTTCGCCGGGATAACGGCTGGGACCGTCGCAGTTTGCTGCGTGCATCCGCTTGATCTCCTCAAGATCAAATTCCAGGTATCAACGTCGCCACCACCCGGGAATTCTAATCCTTTGAAACAAATATACAACTCCCTTACGGGCATCAAGCGCGACTCTGGGTGGAAGGGTTTATATCGAGGTATTGGTTCCAATGTCGCAGGGAATGCAGCAGGCTGGGGCTTGTATTTCTGGCTGTGAGCAATCGTCGGGTGTCGGTTCCGCGTTTAATTTTGACATTCGCTGTTAGCTACACTATAATAAAGGGTCGATTAGCAACGGACGGCTCAGAGAAGCTCACTTCGGGAGATTATTTGTTAGCATCTGCAGAAGCCAGTTCGCCTGCTCGATCCTTTGCATACTCGTCTCAAAATAATTTTCTTTGCCTCTAGGCGCCATAACAGCGGTGCTTACTAACCCTCTATGGGTGGTGAAAGTTCGAATGTTCACTACACGTGCTGATGCTCCAGATGCATATAGAAGCGTGGCACGTAAGGGCTTATTCAGCCACCAGACAACTCAAACTAATTCCCTTTAAATCTTCAGATGGCTTAACATCAATCGTTCGCACCGAAGGTGTGCGGGGTCTCTATAGAGGGACTTCCTTAGGGCTCTTCGGCGTCAGCTCGGGGGCTCTACAATTCATGGCGTACGAACAGATGAAGAATTTTGCTTTCTACAGAAAACGGCGGAGAATTGAAAAGCAAGGCGGAATGTGGAGGGAAGGTGAAGAGAAGCTGGTACGTTTGTCCGAGTTTCACATCTATCAGCGCATCGATGCCGGTCATTTCTTCGACCCATTTACATTTGTACAGTCAAACGCCACATATACATTCGTGTCGGCTGCTGCTAAGCTCCTTGCGCTTGCTTCTACATACCCATACCAAGTCATCCGCTCTCGCTTGCAAAACAACGCTACAAACCACCTCTATCCAAATCTCCGTACCTGCACTCGTAAAACATGGCAGGACGAAGGCTATCGGGGATTTTATAGGGGACTAGGGACGAATCTTATTAGAGTGTTGCCTGGAACGTGCGTCACCTTTGTCGTGTACGAGAATGTCGCATGGTTACTGAGGACAACTGCCATTCGGAGACAACGGGAGAAGTGACATCAGACGAGTAGAATGTGTTCGGCGTGCGCTCCAGATGGTGTATATATACTCATTATGCGAGTACAGACGATGGCAAACCGATACGTGCGCGCCCATCAGACGATCGCTGTGATGTCTGAGGATTATGAAGTCAACAATATTCCGCATTTCCAGACAACACTATCTGCGCCATTCATCGCCTGCATGTATTTGGCCTCCTCTTCCTTTCCAGGTCAGAAATTCACGATTGAAAGTGAGAACCTTAGAAATTTGTTCACGGTTCCATGACGTACATAGAATGTCACAAAGTGCATCAGCTGTGAAGTGCTTCCACTTCGCCTGTGTGATGTACTGCCAGAATTCGCAGCATCCGAGGAACCGGCAGTGGGGGGCATCTGGTAATACGATACTGAGCTCATCGATCCAATTATGAGCGGACGGGGACGCGATTTATGGAATTAATGGACAAGGAATAGCCAATGATCATGGACCCGTGAACGAAGAAGCCCTCAATGACGATAGTTTTAGCACCTCAGAGGGCCGTGGAAACATAACCCACGCATCTGAAATTCAGCTGAACCGCGCTGAAGGTTGGGATAACAACAGGTGTGATATTGTTGCCCATGTTTGGATGGCAGTCAAAGTAACTCCGATCCTGAGGTACATGCCTGGCGGATTTGACGATTGTTGATGATGATTTCATTTCAAGTACGCCTATATCGGCGTAATATTTTAGTGAACTCGGGTGATAATAGCAACTGTTATAACCGCTACCTCCGGCGCGTGCGCAAGCGCAAACCCTTGCGACGTCGCATTCCACCTCGGATCGCCTCTACCAACCTGGTCCCGCTTCTTCCAGAAATCATCCCAATTGTGATGCATGACTTGGAGCTTGAGAAGAGCGGTCACTTTTTTCGATGGGGAGTTTGATGCGGAGAGATTTATGACACATTTGGATGAGGCCGCACAGCAATTGGAACCCTCTCGTCCTTACCTCGTCCAATTATGCCATTGGGCTTTGATCACACGACAGCCTGAGATTTATCAGCGTCTAACGGCGAAGCTGATTCATTTACATCGAAAATCATTGGCCAACCTTGTGGACTTTCATGGCGATTAAGACCATCTTCGAAAGATGGACGACAACAGAAGTGTGTTTCTTTTCTTTTATTTGGTATTATTTGATGTCATCCTCTAGGCAAATATTGGGAAGGTTCGGAATAAGCACACGTATGCTAATTGCTAGTTTGACATTCGTTTGCCGCTTTCCACAGTGTTGTCTCACGAAAGTGAGCCAGGTTCTTTGAGTTTTGTCACGTATCTTAGTTTTATGTAAACGATGCATCTCGTTTCGACTCATTGGATGGTCAAGGTCCCAATATTGAAAAGCTTTGCTCTATCCTTCGCTGGCGGGTATGTGGAGTGTGGTCACCCATCAATCTAGTCCACCTATCTTTTGTGAGCAGTTTCCGAGTGCCAGGTGTTTCACGAAAAGCCAGGGAACATCACAACAGCACAGGATGCCGTCTCATGCCCTGTCCTGTTGATGTTCGTCAAAACATTCAACCGTGAGAGATGGCACGCATTATCGCTTCCGGATGCTGACCATCTGGCTCAGGGCAGCCCAAGGCGATCACTCCTTGTGCGTTCCGATAAAGCCCTGCGTCCGACCTTGAACGGGATTGGTTTTGAAGTGCACGGTATCCTGTTGCCAGGGGGATCAAACACCACTCGTCCGACTTGTAATATTTGAAAGAAATTTGCTTTCCTCGGCATCAACTCCATGTAACATTCCGTAGTGTTCTAATGCAGTCAACTTGATGGTGTTTCCCAAGTGAGATCACTAAGACTCCATTTGATGTGAAACTACAGACAGGCGCCTGTATCCCAGGCGTGGCCCAGGATTTCCTGGACCTGGTACTCCTGCTCGGAATCTTCGCCAGATTCGCGTAACTTTCAAATGTTCCAAAGGCGGTACACGCAGCCAATCCCCGCCCAAACATGTCTAATGTTTCGCGAAAAACGCCCATTATCACAGAATGTCCTCCAAACTTCGGAGGTTAGGTACTCGGGAATTACAAGCCGTGACAAAGCAATGCGAGAAGGTCAAAAGGATGTTCGAGGTAGGCGAGGATTTCAATTGGTGTTTCGGATAGTGAGGCCATGAAGTCAAAGGGGTCCTTGTAAAGAGAGGACAAAGTTCAGGCTTCAAGCGGCAACATATTGTATACATGTATTATGTAGCCACTGACAGCCATGTGCTCTAGAAAAGGTCACTGGCCTACTGGTCTGGCAGTTATCGTATACGTACATTTATTTATGTGGTCTTCCTATCTGCTTCGCAGCTCAGCCCTTGGCAAAGATCTTGTCTGCGCTCACCCCTACAATATCGCGGCGCAACCTTTATCTAGCACCTTAGCTGCGATCACAAGTCGTCGGCTGCTATTTTATTCGCTACCGATTTGACCCCCAACCGCGTTTGATAACTCGTACGACGTGTCTCTCACGAAATGCTGTACTATAACGACCAGTTTGTCGCATGTCGCACGAAGATTTTGGATTGAATTGATTTGGTGCCTCCGGCAACTCCCGGAGGCCGTGGGAACAAACTAACGGTCGTTGGTGCCACGTACAGCAGCAGGGTTGACAAACCATCGTAGGTCCAAAATTGATCGCTTTCATGATTGGATCAATCACGGCTGTCGCGATGGCACTTACTAAACATCGTACTTTAAGCTAGGGTTCTCCGAAAACATACGGGATTATTCTAAGTGGACGAAATCTGAGCGGAAAGGCGGCGTCCATTGGCAATGATCGATCGACCCTTCCCAGGGTACAGATCAAGAAGCAAAACCTGGCAACTCTTTGCGATATTGCAACTTGGCCATATCCAACTACAAATTCCGGCATTATCGCTGGCTCCAATCAATCCAGCCTTTGGAAACAAGCACTCACTCATAAATTGGAGGATGGGCGGTGCCGCTAGATTTGACTTATGCTGTATTAACCATCTGCACGATGACAGATGTCATCCGACAACACAATCTAAAAGATGGCCTTAAAGGGGCTCCAGCACTAAGTCGATACCATCAGGCAAACACCCAGATGGTGAGGACGAGAATGCGAGTAGTTCGGTCCAATCATCATGCGGCAAGAGTTCGAGTTCGAACAATGAAAATGATGAACTAACTTGCGCATGCCCTTCGCTGCACGCTTATAAAGATAATCACCTTGATCGTGATTTTGGTATATTCAGGCCCTCGTCAGGCAGGAGACCCGCAGCTTCGACACAAACTATAGAGTCATGATGAGCTATCGCGCTGGCACATCACGACTCTGTTCTGATAGAGACTGGTGTTACACCTAATCACTTTCCTGACCCAAGGGCAAAAATGGGGCTGCACGAAATCACATAGCCAACCATCAGAGAGTGCAGCCGTTTGGACTCGTCCTACACTCCTGGGTGTGAGTACTACAAAAAAATCGCATCCCAGTATGCGTCAGTGTGACCCCTTTGGATTGCATAGAAACACGTCCAGTCCTAAAAGGCACAGCGAGCTAACCAAAAAAAGAGGACAAGTAAGGTAGCCCAGTGATGAAACAGGCATGCGCAACATCAAAGACTCCGCTACGCAGAATCAAGGGCAAACTCCGCAAATATCAGCTCGTGATCAGAACAGATGTTCTTTACTTTCGCATTTTTGATTCTTTGTATATTGAAGCGATGAGGAAGGTAGCCTTATGTAAGTAGCGACTGTTTGCGCTCGGTTCATGGCACTGCGCGCCGTCGAGGTTTATCATTCTGCCGTATTTGCTCGCCCCGATTGCGCCCTCTGCTTCTCTATCTGTTGTTTTTCATATCTGATCAATGACTTTGTGACTGTGGTCGCAGGGTGTACAATTGACCGGCCATATCCAATATATAGATACCGTCCGATTCAACCATTTAGTGATCGAGGCAGCACGTCTTTCCTTTTCGTGACTCCAACTTGTTTTCGTTGAAGGACGCGGCTACTTATAAACCATGGCAATCATCCCAGATGGAACGGCAAGTGCAACATCGTGGAGGGAACGCCTCTCTCATCGGATCTGCGCTGACATGTGCTACAATCCCGTTTCAAACTCCAGTATTACATCAAAAGCCTTTTACCACCAGGAGACGATGCCGTCATGAATTCTACAGGTCACGTAGCAAACGCAGGCTCCATCGGTGTTCATCGATCGTCATTACCCGCGGCGCTACCCTCATTCAAGGTATGTCTTCCCCTTCCGCCTTTGCGGTTCACCAATGTGTTTACAATTGGTTCGGGAATGTTCTAGCATACCATAAGGTTTAGTCAGGACACAGGAGCGTACGCCATTTCCGCACCTCATATATATGACGGTGCATTCGAGAGAACTAGACCGAGCCCTGATCATCCTGATTCCATTTTCTGTGCGTGGGTCCATCCATCACACAGTTCTTCCATTTTGACTTGTGATGATGTAGATGATCAACTGAGCAACTTCAGAGAATGGAAGATCACACATATCACGAACTCCATGTTTAGGTGCCTCCGTTTCCGTTATCAGGCATGCCTTGTACACTGACATATTCACTTCGTAAAAAGCATCTCATTACCGGATGGCAGATTGTGGGAACGGAGACCGTCCGATCGTTTGGTAAGCGCATTGAGATTGGATCAGACATCAAAGCTAATGTGAATGTCCACAATTCGGGGCGTGCTAATAGGTAAATCTTATCAAGACTCCAGTTTCCCAAGCTACAGCAGTATGTGTACGGAAACTGTGGTCTGCAGTGGCGGAAGCTGAGTGGGTTACGTCGACTCCCCTGGTAGTGGACTTTTGAAGATCCGGAAAGGCCGGGTCACCGCATTCCCCCACTTGATGAGCCCAAATATAGCAAGTCAAAGGCAGACATAAATGCAGATGCACAGCGGCGAGCTCAGGACTATCTCAGATCGGGCGGAATAGATCATAGTGCCGAACCTGTCGCTTCGTAAGGGGTTTTTGACTTGTGACCTCAATCAAGGATACGATGAACTCATTAACGGGTTTAGTATGAGACGGATGTTCTTCAAGAACAGGGGGACAGGGGATAGGATCACGTTCGAGAAAGGAGAGCATAATGGAATAGCCGTCTCGAGTTCCGAACCAACTGCAGCGGACTACGATACCAGGAGGTGCGGTCTCATTATTGTTATTAATGATCCACTCGCTTTCAGTATGCTGAATTTGACTTCGACAAAGTGGGAAGTTGAGCTCGTGGGTGATAATTATCGAATTCGGAATCCTAAGTCAGAGAGATATATCCTGTCCTGGATTTCACCTCCTACAACCGATCTGCCCGTCCAAGCCCTTAGATCATTCCACGGAGACGAAGCGCTTGGAAATGAACTACCAGATAGTCTTTGGGCAATTCGAAGATTGCCGGAGAGGAATCATACGTACTTCTGGTACCCGATACTACTTTAGCCATTTCTCAGACGGACGACCCTGAGGCTAATGTGAGCCCTGCGTATCGAGATATAGCCCTGACCAGCCCTTAGATAAAACCTTGCGTAGGTTCGCCTCAAATACATAGACGGCGATACATCACAGAAAGTACGTACATCTCCAACAAGTGCTCCCACATGTATACCCATTTTTGTTGACTCGGCAGTGGGAGCTGGTTGATGTGTGATGGAGTTTGGGAGGTTTTCTGTTGCTGCAGGTCACCGGGCAGGTCGATATTGGCGCAGCCCTCGCCTCGGCTCACTTTTCATTTCCTTTCAAGATGGTGATCCTGTACAACATTTTGTTTTCTGCTTCACAATTCATAAATACGAACACAAGGGGCAGGTCTGTTGGTTGTTGTCCTGCACGAGGACGGCCATAGAACGCGGTTTTTGTAAACCCGCTGCAGACGAAGAGTTATAGACAATGACGGTGAGATGATTACGAAGAAGTTTGCAAGTAATCCCAACTAGAGTTCTAGGAAGAGATGAAGCTGTATAGGGCCATCTACCCCTGTATCGGGGTAGTCCGGCCACTGATATCAGGGATATTATTCTGAGCCGGGTCGGAGCAGTTGGCAGTTGCACCTCTTGCCGCGCGTTTTTGACGCCATCTCATTCCACGCCTCCGTTCAAGAAACATGAGAGGAAGGAGGCACAAGGGAACGCTAACAATGACCATCTAGACCAATTCCCAGGATCAGACGAGACACAGTTCACGACAAGTTCACGAGAAGGGCTTAATATCAGATCACGCACCATCGCTGGGCCCATTCCCACGCGCGGCGAAGCGGATCGATGATCGCGATAGCAATAGCCCCGATCAGGGAGCGAGTCTGTAATCACCCATCCGGTAAAGTCGGAGTAATCTGCGGCCGTGGTGAATTCCCCACTTACCAGGTTAGATCTGTAAGGATGTTCACAAATCACTGGGCTAGAACACAGACATGAGATGCTTACATTGGCGGCAATGGATGCTCCTCTCCAGGATAGAGATCCATTAACAGCACAGTAATAGACTGGCTCGATGCGACCTGACCAAGGCCCTCTAGAAAATCATCAGAAGCTGCACCTAACAGAGCGGTATGACGTACGGAAGAACTGAAAGATGAGAGGGACAGCAAGATGGACTTTAAAATGTACAGACCATCCATAGGCTACGATGCAGGACCAAAGAACAAGGTCGTCTAGGATGGAAGGGTAAGTGGTTGGCTCGACGATGGCAAAAGCGAGAATATTACAAATCGGAGACGACTTGAGCCTTGCATGTTCAAGAGGGAACCGGAGCATCTCTTCTTCTGACAACGATTTCTTACCATTCTTTATATCTCTCAGTGAATTTGGAAGATGCTCTTCGCGATCGTAACGACGATCCCGCATGTAGCTTGCGAGAGTAGAGTGGAAATCGCGATCGATCAGTCTTCCAGCTATGACACTGCCCAAGCCATTCCAGTACCAAAGGGAAGACTGTTGGAATGTCATGGGTCCTTGGAGTGTAGCATGGCCATGGTTGCTTACTAGCAAAGACCTGCATCACTCGGACCAGCCCATATGTATCCTGCATTATGGTCGCGGTGGTGGCCGTCTATAAGAACGATTGTCAATGGGGGACGTGACGAAGTCGAAATGGTTACATACGACTATGTACATATTCATGAAGTTCACTCCATTGAAAAAGAGAAGGATTGATACGTCTTTCTCGAAAAAATAGTGAAGCGTGCGCAGCTATGGGAGGAAGTAAGTACTGAATCCCATGTTGTGAGAGACCTTAAAAGGCACCAGATGAACGGTTTTTCTTCTGCTCGACGAACATCTTCCGTTCATGTTCGGCAGCTAACATCAACTCAGTCCATGGTTCCTCCTTGCCACCCCGACAAATCTTCCTGCACATATCCAACAGTGTCATGCTGATCCCGCTTGAAGGAATGCTCCCATTTCCTCGAATGTTCGCAATGTCTCCGGGAGAAACCAGAGTGAAACAAGACAGCATGCAGTGAAAATTGACAAGAACCAAAAGACTGCTCGCCAGCCAAGGTAACGGTCGATAAACCCTCCTATTACTGGCCTGTTGGAGGTTTTGAGGGAAAAAAAT